TCGAAGGAATTTTCGTTTCCCTTGGAGGTTCGAAAAATCGGGATTCCACTGTAATTATGCCATTGAACAGAACTACTTGACATGAAATTTGTGGTGAGTTTAGGATTAGCTTTGAGAGATTTTTAAGGTTAAGGTCAAGATTTTTAGAGACTGAAGTAGCAAAGTAAGTAACCAAAGAAGAGAATAAATTAGCGATAAAAACGCATGTGCACTGCGCTAATTCTTGAAACTCCGATTTGGCTCATTGACTGTTGATTGATGTCTGGCATCACGTGAAAGGTACGTGAGAATTTTAACGTGTTCCTATATTTCAAAATGAAATCGGTTCAAAGACACTTTTTTGTTTCTTGATTATCACTGGCAGCCTTTTCTGAGCCTCTTCAGTACACTCAAATGCGCGGCTAGGGTTTTGGTTATTCTGAAGGATTTTAAATAACGTAATAGAAACGAGATGGGAGGAGATAGGTGCAGGCCTAGCGGAATTGAAGTTGTCTAAGTTACAGACAAATCAAGTGAAGAGTACCTCTCAAGACTACATTAATGAATTGATTTTTTGAATATTGAGCCCGCTAGTTGTTTCAAGAATGCAATAATGAGTTGATTATTTGATGTTGTTATCCTCATTAAAGATTACTACTACTAATACTGAACACGCTAGTCGTTTAAAAGGGCAATAATGAATTGAATTTTTTGAATATTGAACCCGTATATTGAAGCCGTATTCTTGGAACGACGAGCGGGTTCAATATTCGATTAATCAACTCATTATTGCATTCTTGAAACGACTCGCGGGTTCAATATTCAATAATCAATTCATTAATGTAATCTTGAGGGGTACGCTTCACCTGGTTTGACTTTAAATTAATGAGTCCATACCTTTATATTGAATTTCATCGACTGCACACATCAGCCTCGTTTTGGAGCCATAGTTGTCAAGAGCGACTGACAGAGAAACAGAGTCGGAGAATTCGACAATGGCCACGCGAGCTTGTAAAGGAGAAATGTCAAACGTTTGAATAATCTCCCTGAGGGAATAAAAAATGGTGTTAGTCAGTACACAATAAGGAAGATACTTTTTTTATTGAATTCGTCGTTGACATTTGCTTTCACCTCCAGTTTTTTTCTCACCAGAGAATGTTCATCCATTAACGTTCTTTTAATGTTAAAATGAAGGTTGTGTGGGACACGATTTACAAATTGAAATGATTTAGTCTGTGTTAGAGAAGTGGTACACAATAGTAATGTTAATAAAGTAAA